CCGTCTGGACAAGCTCCCTGATCCTCCGGGTCTCCATCGCTGTTGGATCATCACCGTCCACTGGGAGAGCCGCCAGACGTGCTGACGCTGCAATTAAATTCTCCATGGGGTTGGAAAAGTGACCCTCTGGTATCGGCACATAACGCGGCGGCACCATACTCATATGAGGAGGTGGCATCTCCCGACGCTGAGCCGGTCCTCCCGCTCCGGATGTCATAAACTGATTAGCATCAGGTGGGTTACTTGGGCCGGCTCCGGGTGTAGCAAAAAGAACCCTAGGGTCATAATTCGGAGGCAACCGGGATTGGGTCTTCTGGTGTGTCCTCCTCATTACCTCATTGGACGCGTTTAAACTCATCGTGAGCTGGTAAGCCTCTGACTGCAACCGCAGTGCCCGGGCGTCAAGAGCCGCCCGCTCCGAAGCTGCCTAGTATCCTCAGCTGCTAAGGCCTCCTTGGCCTGAGCTATCTCCTCACGTACCCGTGCTACCTCTGCGTCATGCTCATCTTTGTTTGCAGGGATAACCGTGGCGGTTAACAAGTCGTAAGCTTGTCCATGAGGTCTATCAGTACTTGAGCCGGCGGGCGCACAGGGCCTCCTGCCCCGGCTGCTCCTAACCCAGAAGTAATTGCAGCCGCGGCTATAGAGTTTTGTCCGGGTTGAGTCCCAGCCATAAATACTCCTGCCCAATTTGGCGACTCACAGAGGTCTGGAATACTAAGGCCATCGGAACAGCCCCCGAGCGCACCATCTTAAACTTGATACAAAGAATCTGTTGAACCGGCGGACGAATCACCGTCAGAGTGGACGGCCGTCTCACCACCATCTTCAGGACCTTCAGAAAGTTCTTCTCTGTGGACGCAGCCCACAAAGACACGCTTCATGCCGGTTTGAACTCGGGCGGCTTTCGCACACTGAGCCGTCTCGACGAGGTCGGTGCAGTTGTCCGGCTCAGGCCCCGGCTCACCAATCCGGCCGATGAAGACGTGGATCCCTCCAAAGGGGACCCGGTACCCGTACTCAATTGAGCCGACGTCGGGGGCCCAGCCTTAATCGTCGATGTAGATCTTGCCGCGACGACTTTTGGTCATCCGGCCCACTATGTATCCCTTGAGCCCTTCGAAGTTGCCCTTCAAGAACTCAAATCCACCGTGCGCTGGCCCCACGGTGGGCGCCAACTGTCGTGGAATTGTCACGTCAGATGTCCTCGTGGAAGGACTTAGTTGTGGAGCCATCGCAACTAGGAAGCTTGAAGGGGTTAATCGGGACAAAGAACACGAGGGGTTTTATACTAGTTCGGCCCCTTACGGTGAAGGTAAGGCCTATGTCTAGTTGGGTTGGTATTGATGTTTCGATGACCAGTGAGCGAGATATGCTATGCCTGGCTCTCGATGAGTTGTTTTTTCTCCCTAAGTCGCTCGCAGGTCGTCCCCTTATATACACGGGTTGACGCCCTGCGGCTTACAGAGTCCCGGCCGGCTTATACACAATGTCCGGCTCGGTGACTAATTAAGTCTACCTTATGATACAAGTATACTATTATGGCGGTTTACTACAATGGGCCTTAAGTCGCCTGCGGGCCTTAAGCTCTCTATGAACCGCCATCTTCATACTTTGGTCTTGGGCTTCTCTCTGGTGAGTCTTCTTTGCGTAACCCGGCCCCTCCTGGGCGGCTTACACAAATAGTTATATCCCCTACAGGGATCCAAAGAGATCGAATCCATCCATGGTCCCAAGTGAAAGCCATTTTCAATCGGCCAGACGTGCATGTGTCGCTAGTCAAGACAAGAAACCAATCAAGGTGCCTATGTGCTTGCTTGAGCCTAGCACGTACGCTCTCATGGACGACGACGGAGATGATCGACTCTGCAGCTCGTACGACGCCGTGCTTGATGCAACGGTCGTCGCTGGTGTGGCTGCTACGCCTAGATCTCACTCGGCGGTGGCCTGGATGTGGATCGTGCTGGCCACGGAAAGATCTTCATGAGGGTTTCTATCTCTAGATCCGGTGGTTGACATCACGGTGAGATGCAAACTATGGACAACGGCTTGATGCAGAGGGATGGTGGTGCAGCGGCGGCGGTCATACATCGCATGTAACTGCTGGGCTCGTGGAAAAGTGGTGGAGACAACACTTGAGTGACTTGATGGTGGTGCTACTAGGCACCCGGTCTCGAGCTCCGGGGTGAAAGCCTAGGTGACCCGAGTTGGTCATGCCTAGCAATGGCGATGTTTTTACGTTGTTACCTTGTTGAAGGCATTGTTCGGATATGCTCGGACTACTTCTTCAGGGTGAAAACCTAGACTCTGACCTTAGGTGGTTGGATCCGGCAATGGTGGTTATTGAGCCTCGCTCCCTTCCTGAAGGCGTTACTGTTGAAGAATCTCGTCGTTCGTTTGGTGTAATAACATGGTTGGTGCGGATATGGTCATTGATGTAGTTTGCCGATTATGGATTCGATCGCTTCAGGGTTTTTTTTCTCACCTACGCATAGCTTTGGTCTTGTATGACTTTGCTATTTGTTGTTGTGTTCTTGTGTGCGTGTGTTGGTGTTGGCTGTGTGCATCCTAGCTATGCAGAGACCGGGTGTGCTTATTGTGTTTGTATCTTCTTGGTGCTCCATTTTGAGACAATAAAATTCACCCTTTGTCGAAAAAATATGTCTTAGGCAGGTTTCAGGCACACTTGTGGCCAGACACGAAATCACCAGGAAGGCAACCAAACTGACCCTAACTCCTCAATGGAGTAATGGGCTGGGCCGTTCAGTGGAGCGCCAAAGGCGAGATTACCATATGTCTCATAATAGACAAGAAATAGCGCTGACGCTAACTCCTCAATGGAGTAATGTAAAATATAACGGGTTTTTGGAAAAAACTGGAACGTAATAGGTCATCGGTAATAGGCCATTTGTTGGACAGTTTCCTAAACCCATTTTCATTATCTAATGTGAATTTTGGTGTGAGTAACTTGAAAAGAAGTCTTCTACTAGCACAAGACCAATCTCCTCTCTCCTTCGCTTTTGAGTGTTTCCCTGGTTCCGTGGGGTGGACTGGAGGAGATTGTCGTTGTCTCCATCCTTTGTGTAGTAGATTTTGATGTCGTAGAGGATCGTCCCAATGGTGATAACAGTGCCATCTTGAATAAAAGGCATTTGACTTTAGTCTCATCCTCATGGCGTTTGCACAACGTTGTCGTAGAGCGTGTTAGTTTTGTCCTTGTTCTTCTTCATGAACAACGGGTTGGTTGTCAAGTGTATTGTTGATTACAACATCATCTTCTTCAGTAACCTCTTCTCTCGAGTATTTGCTAGCAATATTGTTTATTTGATTTGGCGATACTAGCACAGTTGTCTGCCTATATCAGTTTCGATGGTTCAATGATATTTGTTTCTTTACATGTCTTTCCATATACTTTAGTGACTAGATTTTTTCGATGTTGTCTATTATTGACCAAAGCCATGGTGGTACAACAACAATATGTTTATTTTTTCGTATTGTTTTTTCTTTGCGGGGTCCGTATTGGTATTCCTCCATTTGGTCAAGGTTTCATTTATATACGTGGATCAATTATTTTATTATATGATCTTATACAGTGTTCTTTTGATTAATATAAACTAGTTTCGACCGCTAAATCGCCTGTGCACATGCGGCTACGCGAGGTTGTTATCCTCACCACTCGCCCCCACGCGATTCGTGCTCACTCCAATACGACGCTCGCGTATTAACTCCACTAGGCAGCCTACACCTCCTTGTATAGGGCTTGTATTTCTCTCTACGCGTCAGTAAAGGCCCACACGCCACCTGGTGGTGACAATGGCTACCTGCGCCAAGGCATTTACTGAGCTGTAGCCACAACGGCTACATGCACCAGGCGGGAGGGCACGACCAGGCCACTGTTGTAGTAACATATGTAGTGTACCCCCTCTGCCTAGGGCATGCCGCTTATTTTTCGTATGTTGTAGTAACGCATGCCGATCTACGTGTGTAAGTTAGTACGTAGAGCAAGCCCATGCAGGCCGCTAGTGGCTATGTGTAATAAAATTATCTCGATGTCATCATGAGTGGCCGTACTACCGTAATTAACCATGTCGCTAATCAGGAAACAGACGCACACACGTACTTTCTGCGAGTGAGTGAAGTCACCGCCCACGGGATCACTTCAATGCACCAATAAGAGAGGGCGCTGCGCGGCATAAATACGCCCAGCCCACCTGCACCGAGTAACGACACCCATCACAAATTGATTGCTCCAATCAATATGGCCTGCAGACGAACAGAAGACGACAGGGCACGCGTGCTCTATAAATCGATTAGCCCAATATGGGCTATTAGAGGTCGTCTAGTACTATATTGCTGCTAAACCAACGGGATTCATATGGATTCTCATGGACTAACCTGGATTTATCTGTTTCTGCTGAAACCATGGCGTCCGCCCCCTCCTCGTGCCCGATGAGCGTGAGAACCCAAGAAGATGTACAGTGATACTAGCCTGCGTGCTCGACCGACGCATTAGCCTGTGTGCTAAATGACGATGCACCCCGCGTCAGGCCAATTATTACCCCACCCGCGCACCGGGGTCCCCGCAACGGACAAATGATGTATTTGTACGAAAGTAAATGTGCGCGGCCCACTGACGAGAGGGTATAGCCGGCGTATTCCCATTCTGAAAAAATAAAACACTGTGTTGTATTTTGCACGTGGGGGGAGAGGCTAATTTAGCTGCGGATCACGACGCGCTGCGGACGCATCAGATAAAGACCTCGCGTGGGGGCATGTCCTCAAAATTGGCGTCCAGTTTCGACTTAAGAATTTAGTGGCATTTATACTCTCCGTAGCTTTCAACTGGTCATGTGTTTTGTATACGTGAACGGTGACTGAAAGCGGAAACTGCAAGCTCGGTATATGAGCTGAAAGCGGAAAGGTTGTGTCTGTACTACCAACCCGGCAGCCGTCAAACCCCCTGCTCGGCCACTTGCTCTTCTCCCCCCCTCCGGCACCCGATGCTCGCCGCCACCACCGCCTCCCTCCCCGCGCCGCTCCGCCGCTCACCGCGCGCAACCTCCCTCGGTGCCTCCCATGGATGCGAGGCTGGGGCCCGCTCTCTCCACCCGCGGCCCCGCGGCCGGCGGACCCTAGCCTGCCGGGCGGAGCTGCAGCAGGACGCGCCGTTCGTGGCCGCCATCGGCGCCTGCGTGCTCGCGTCCCTCGCGCTCCCGCCGCCCAGGGTCCGAGGAGAGGCGGCGGAAGAGGAGGACGACGACGGGGAGTTCGGCGCGACGGACACGAGGATGGGCGTGATGGCCATCATCTCCTTCCTGCCTTACTTCAACTGGCTGGTGAGCCGAAGCAACTTGGTTGCTCTTATTATTTCCTTCCCCCGCAGACTGATAATGTTTTCGGTGCTTTTCTCCCTGGGATTAGAGCTGGGTCTTCGCGTGGCTGGACAGCGGCAGGAAGCTGTATCTGCTCTACGCGGCCGTCTATTTGGCTCCTTACCTTAGGTTTGTAATTGTGAATCCTGAGCTAGGAGCTTCTGTTTTCTTTGTTCGGTATCCCGGAACAACTGATTATTCGCTCTGTTAGGTTTTTATCTGAAACTAGTAATTCAACTTTTCAATTAGCTGTTGTTTTGCATTGAAAAATCCTGGCTCGGTGATGTAGTATGTCAGGTAGTTGCTAGTGGTACGAGCCAGGGACTGACTTAGGTTGGCAAAATGCTTCTTCTGCCATTGGAGCTGTAGAGTGTTCGGGGAAGTTGAGGATTCCAGTTCACCATTGCCCACTTATTAGTGCTATTGGAGCTGTAGAGTGTTCAGGTAAGTCGAGGATTCCAGTTCACTATTGCCCTGAGCTTCGGTCGACAAAGATCCACTGATTAGTGCCATTGGAGCTGTAGAGTGTTCAGGGAAGTTGAGGATTCCACTTCAATATTGCCCTGAGCTTTCGTTGACAAACATCCACTTATTAGACCATCTTCAATTGCTTAACAATTGCAATTGGGTAAACAACTTGGAGTGAGCAGCCGATTATCCCCATATATTCAGGGAAGTTGAGGATTCCACTTCAGTATTGCCCTATGCTTCCGTCGACAAAGATCCACTTATTAAACCATCTTCAATTTCTTAACAATTGCAATGTGGTAAACAACTTGGAGTGAGCAGCCATTATCCCCATCTGTACCTCAACCCCTCATCATATTTTTCATGTGAGTTTCTTCTGTGGTGTCAGTAATGTACTACTAGTACATTATGGACTATGAACTGCTCTTCGGGCTCTATCACATGGTGTTGCTATGAAATATGAACCTAGCAACGTTAAGTACAGTCATTACTTGTTAGGCCTTTTATTTTGTCATGTTGTACATGTTGTGGCTCTGTGTGTAAAGTTATATATGGAAGCAATTCAAAATGGAGCAGCGAAGTTACCGTACTTTTCATTTTCTGCCTCTTCAGTTGAGTATGATGATTGAAATTTAGTGTCATTACTGATTAGCCAAATGTTACTTGCCACCCTGCCTTGTAAGTTGTAACGGTGTACTAATTCATATGCACTTCTGGTGTACCATACCACCGTGTTCTAGCATACCACCATGTTCTAATTGCTGTGGGCTTACTTCTTGCATGCTCAACACTTTGCACATTTTCTATCCATGAATTGGAGATTAGACCCAAGCTGTCTGCTCGGGTAACTTACAAATGTCATTGTTGTTTCCAGAACGAACTTATCGCTCTCCCCTGATGAGAGCTGGTTGCCTATTGCCAGCATCTTCATCTGCATCTTACATGTTCAGGTAAGTGAGCGGCCTTCTTCAATACTTATTAAGCAAGTTGTGTTCATTTGATGAGATGCTTTCTTCCCTTGCAGCTAGAAGCAGGCATCAGGAATGGTGATATTGAGGGCTTCATGTTCTTTCAAAAAGCACAGAATCTTCTCTTTCCCAATGCTATGAAGGAAATGGATGGCCACCGTGCAAACAAGAGAGAATCTCTCAGAATGGTACGATTCAAGGTGGTCTATAACCCAGATTCACGATATCCCTATTAGTTAAAATTATGTAATCCGTCTCTGCATCTGTTCAGGGACATCGGGGCAACTCAAGAATACCTTCAGCTCACGAGTCCAGAGAGAAGCTTCGCAATTCAGATATCTTCAAGAAAAGACTTGATGAGCCTGACGAGAAACAAAAGAAATCAGACTGGCATTGAACTTGACGGGGTTCTCTTGTTGTATGGCACCGGAAGTGGTTCCAGACAGATGCTTGCTTATGTAGCTGCAGAAAGTCATGCGTGGGACTGTGGGTTGCACGCGAAGCTGGGGTGATGTTGTATGTAGCAGGCTTGTGGTTTCAGATTCCTAGTGTTGAATTAGAGGTGTAGCTAGTTTCTATGATGTTTGTGTTGTTACATGTCATAATTTGTCAGTTTGCAATTTGTTTTTCGTTAAATATGTGGCTTATCAAAATCACTAGCCGGTAACACAATTGCATCTTCATTTTTTTTGTAATGATAACACAATTGCCACTTCTAGAGGATGTAATGCTTCTCCGGGGTCCAGGTCATATAGTATACACCCATGAGATGCACTAATGCACTAGGCCAATAAAAACAAAGTCTTAAACTCATCAAATTTTAATTTATGACATAGAATACACATCTACCATGTCAGAAAGTTGCATGTCTAAATTCAATTCACAACTTTGTAAATAAAATGAGAAATACCATATTTAAATCTAAATGAATAGTTTTCGGGTGGCCCTATTCACGAACAAATGATCATATTTTTGGACAAGGAGATTTGGTGCCCGAGCCCAGCTGGTCCCGATATCCTCTCCTTCCGTTCCGCGCTAGGGATCCGAGAAAAGAGGCCTGACGCATCTGACGCTGAATTATGGAATTCAGGCGGGAGGTGAAATACGGGACATAACAGTGTATTGTACGTGGGACCAAGACATAGCGGTGGGACGACGGAGACGCGTGAGGTAGCTAATCCGTCGACCAGAATGTTAGTGCTTTTACCGTGCCTAGGATCAGATCAGGGGAACAAGACGTCGGGGTAAAAGCTGAGCCGTCTGTCAGACACGTCTATGTGATACACATGCGCACATCGTTTGTAGGCGGCGACCCGGCCCCCATCCAAATCCCCCGGTCCATCTAGCACGTCGTTGTTCATTCTGGAACCCTGATTTGTGCTGGTGCCCAGCCCACTACCATTTTACTTGCGGCGGCATTGGTGGCCATTTGAATGGATGATGTTGGCATGGAGTTCCTCCTCGATGCCGTTGACAGGTTAGATACTTCAGATCTGCAAAGTTTTTCAGCAATTTTCAGTGTGTTTTCACTGACGCGCCATGGCTGCCGCCGTTGCCGTTGGATTCTCATGTCCCCCCTGCATGAGGAGTTCGCCGATAGTCATGAGCAGCCAGATCCGGTCCCTATGTCCTTGTTGGTAAACAGCGGACCAGGAGTTGCCCTCCCTGCAGAATCAGACGTTGGCTATGGTTGTGGTCAGCAAATCGGCGTCGAGGACAACAATAGTAGACGAGCTGGAGTCCGGCGACGACCTGATTCATCGCCGACGAGGTCTGTGCATCGACTGACAGAGTCAACCTGCAGGCCCGTGGGTGGACAAAAGGTACGAAATGAAATATGTGGAGTTGTAGGATTACATCTTTTATATCTCCTGTCCTGACTGAACATTATTTGTGCGTTGCTTATATTCAGTAAGAACTTAGCAGTTAAAAACCAGATAGTTAATCTGAACAAATTGGACCACTTCGTTACCGCACCCATATTAACCCCCCAGGAATACCCACAGGCACCATGTTGCTAGCCTTGTTTCGTACAATGAAAAAATGTTAGGAAAGAAAATTTGAATTTTGGTTTCCATGATCGCAGATTACGTCTGGGTAGTGCGCCACCAGACATGACACCATGCCCTTCCCGAATTATTGCTATGGAGCAGTCGATTTGCAAGTACGCGGAAGAGCCGTCGAAGAGTGTGATAACGCCCGAACTCGGGCTGAATTTTGATTTGTTAGGTGAGGCATGCAACTTCTACAATTTGTATTCGTGGGAGATAGGCTTTGCTATTAAATATGGTAAAAGCAGATTGAATGCGGAGAGGACAAAGTGCATGCAACAGATTGTGTGCGGGTACTCGGTGAGTTTTCATTTCCGTAATGTATTCTATGGCGCGTAGGGAAGTGTTTGGCCGATTTGTCGTGGTGAAAAACATGCAGGGAAAACCGGAAACGGAGAACAGTAGGTCCTGCAGATGTCAGTGTCCGGGCTTGATTAGGTTGTTGCGTGCAGCAGAAAACAGTTGATACATCACAAAGCACCGTGAAAAAGCCACAACCACTCTATGTCGTTGATGATTGGTGAAAAAGTGCACCGGCCGTCTCACAAGCACATTGATGTGTACATTAAAGATTTGATAAAGCGGCTAAGGGAGAATAATGTGAATTTTGGAAAGGTGTACAACATCATTGGCAGTTTTTTTGGGTCGATCGAGAAGGTGCCATTCACGAAGAGGACTCTAAGGAACATTTGTGGTAAGATCAGCCGTGAGCAGGCAGAAGACGATGTTAGGAAGACATTGGAGGTGTTTGTAGACATTGTCAATGATGACCCTGGTTTGACATATAAAGTTTTGGCAGAGAGAACAAGTAAGGTCAAAAACCTCATGTGGACTAACGGAAGCAATCGAATGCAGTACAGGTTTTTTAGTGATGTAGTTACATTCAACACAACCTACATGAAAAACCTTTGGTCTTTTTGTTGGGGTTAACAATCATTTTCAGAGCATTATACTTGCTGGTGTGTTGATGAGGGAGGAACAAGTAGAGAGCTTCAAGTGGTTTTTTTAGTGAGTTCCTACGGATGATGGGGGGGGGGGGGCTTGCACCAAAGACTATTCTGACAGGTGAGTCAACTAGAGTTTTTTTTCACAAACTATGCTTATAAAAGAATGTTCAAGTTCCTTTAGAATGATCATATATATGAATAGTTCGTTGGACCTAACTCTTGCCATTCATGGTTGCAGATCAGAACAGAGCCATGGAGGTGGCAAGAAAGAAAGTTTATCCGGGGACTGTGCACAGGTGGTGCAAATGGCATGTGCTGAAGAAAGTCAAGGAGACATTACGGCAACTGTACACGAAGAAGTCTGATTTCCAGGCTGAATTCCATAAGGTTGTCAACCACATGTTAACTGAAGATGAGTTTGAGGCGGCATGCAACATGCTATTAGATAAGTACAATTTCAGGAAGCGCACTTAAATACCTAGTGTGAATGCGGTAAGTTCGAGCACACTGGGATGTTGTGCAGCCACGTTTTAAGGGTAACTAACTTCTTTCAACAGTTTAGGACCAGCATCAATGCTTTCCATGGCCTAACAGCTCCAGAAAAGCAAAGAGGGGTTGGGAGGCCGAAAGGTAGAAGAGAGAAGGCACCGTACGAGGGTCTGAATAAGCGGATCAGATTGTACAGCATACGTAGGCGCGAGGGGCACAAATGGACTACTTCCCCTGAAAGAGGGGATGCACCGAAGAAACCACGGAAGCCTGGAAAGTGCAAGAATTGCGGTATGGAAGGGCACTGCCGGACAACTTGCAATTTTTGTAGAATGAAGTCTGAAATACTGTTTCTGTTCTATTGTTACGAGGATTTTCTAGTGTGTTTGTGTGAGCATTGCTCTGCGCTTGTTCCTCACTTTCAAGAGTCATGATAAGTAGTCTAACTTTTAGACCTAAACTATGTTTCCTGATCATTTGTAGAATGATGCTTGCTTAATTGTAAACTGGGTGTACTTTCTTCACTCAGTTGGGTGCTTCAGTCTTTTATTTGAATCTTATTTCTGCTGGACTCATTCTGCTAGGGGCCGTCAGGTTTATCTGAATCTTACTTCTGGTGGCCTCATTCAGCTAGGGCTGGGACTGACAGGTTCTACTAGAACACTATATGTTTACTGTGGTCTAGATGACATTATTGGGACTGCAACTAGTGCTTGGAGTACAACACGTGTGCCAGCAGAGAGTAGCGAAGGAGTGGATGAGGTAAATCGGCATCTGTTGTGTGTCTAGTTGTCCTGTGGATTGAACACTCGACGTACACATGATCAGGCTTCCCTGTAGATAATGTGTCAGGCTTGCTGACAAAAACGATGACTGCATTAACAAGGAGAGGTGATCCATCTAGCTAACCTCGTCTACTCGCCATTTGCTAAACCTATGGAGTGCACGGCTCAGGTGGGCTCAGAAACAAAACCGGTCCGTCGAGGTACAGCCTGTTCCGCCTCTCCAACACGACACGCCGTTGCAATCAATGCGAACCATCAGCTAGCTAAATAAAATGAAATACGGCAGCAAAATACACTGGATGGCACGCATCCATAGGTGAGGTTGCGGTGTAGACATCAGGATCATCTGAGCTCGGGCTCAGAAACTGATTTTTGATATATTTTTTGTCCCTATAGTTGTGTACCAAAACTATAACTATGAAATGGTGACATGTTGCATGAATATTGTTGCTTTTTTGTCAAATTTGTCCAGGACTTTCTAAATGTTGATCATGAGGTCTAGTGCACTAGTGCACCTCCAGGTGCTAGCGCATGCTTATATTCACCTAGTTTCTCCAATTATAGCCCTCAACATCTTCACATAAAATTTATTTGACACAAAAGCAAAAGAAGGTGCCATAGACACCAAAATACATTTCTAATATCAGCAATACCTTTATTGTTTCATGCATGTGAATGTGCAATTTCCAGCATTCATAGTTGAGGCTCATATTATTCTGATTTCGGAATTGTCATTTTGGTATAGAATATCACATTGTTTCGTGAGGGCTTGCTACGGAAAAATCTAAAATTTATCTATCGATTACAACAACTGGATTGTCCATTTTATGGTCTTAAATTTTTGGATGTGTATGCTCATATTGTTTTTAACCTAAGTTTTTCCTTCTTTAATGTGGTTGTGCCTTTTTAGCTTGCTTTGTTTGATATCACCTGGTGATTAACTTGAATGGCTCTATGTGTACTACCAGCATAACACTTGCAACTTTGACAAGGGTGAAATTGGTCGCCCTATTGTTGTTGGCTTCGGCTCTTCCATGATACCATGTGCATCGTTTGGGAATTGGTTGCTATATAATTCAATGGTTGTATGGATTGTGAATATTTAGATTGATAATATGAATACTG